CCGGAGTGGGAGTCGGGGAGGAGGGGGAGGGGAGGTGACAAGCTGAGATAATAACACAGCATCCGGTGCCAAGGGGGAGGTGCAGGCTTGGAAAGACCCACAGAGACTTCACGGTCAGACCACGGAGTCAGGGAGTCCCAGGAAGGAAGAGCAGAGGACCAACAACACCTGTGTCCACCCACCACGGGAGGCGGGGGACATCCAGGCACTAGAAGAAGCATTGGATGGATGGTGGGGCGGTCTCTGGCCAAGCCACTTGAGTCCCAGAGCTCACTTTTCCCCTCTTTCCCTTCCAGACCCCTCCTCCTACGTGGCTGTTTTACTGCTTTATTGACCAAAAAAGCATTTAGTGCTCATTATAGGAAAATTCTATTACTAGACCTGTAGTGCTTCAGTGTTAAGGTGCTATCTATATCCATCTAATTAATTAATTAGATAATTAATAGCATTTTCCAGCCTCCTTCTAACCGGCATAAACAGGATTCCCGGGAAGGAAATGCCTTCCCTTCGATCTTGAGCGCTGTGCGTCCGCGGCTTCCAGGGAAGGTTGCACGTTTCCCAGGGGAGGAGAAATAAATTATCGGGATTGCTAACTTGTGCAGTCGCCTGCCATCTGGAGAAGGGGCTGCTCCCTCGGGCAGTGTGTAGTTCTCCGCACCCCGCCTGTGGCTGGGGGGCTCACTCCAGTTGCGGGGGGGAATGCCCGGCTGGCATGCCTTGGCCACGTGCCAACAGAGAGAGCCTTTGCCTGGCGCCTGGGTGTCCCCGTGGGTTCAGAATTTGTGGTGTCAGGAGGTGGAGAGGGACAGGGGGTGTTTGTCTTCGGCTCCCTTGGGGTCTCCACACCCACTCTGGCCAGCAGAGGGGCAGGCCAAGCACAGAGGTTACGGGCTTTGCAGTAGGGTCATCCTGGGTTCAAGTTCAGTTCCAACGCTTACTCCCTGGGCAGCCCCTCGAGGATGCGCACCCTCGTGGCCTGGCGGAGTGGTCCTACAGATTGAAAAATACAGCACCCAGCCTGTGAGAAGCGCTCAAGAATACAGTATTGGGTCCGACCCTGGAACTAGATCTGCAAGAAAAACTGAAGTGGAGAGAAGCCAGATCTCGCCCTTCCAACACTCAGACTCACCTCCTACCCCGCTCTGTCTCATTCCGAGCGTGCACGCTGCACAGCACGACCACGCTGTGCCGGGCACTGGGGCGTCCGCCAACAAGCCCAGCCCACACTCCCTCTCCTCTTGCTGCTTACACACTTTGGGGGGTCAGATGATGAACAAAGAAATTAAACAAAGAAACGGTGAAAGACGTAGTATGACAGAACCACCGGCACTCCAGAGAAACAAAGAACAAGAAAGGAGGTTTGGCTGGCTGGATGAGGGGCCTATCTTTACGTTGTGTGGTCAGGGGAGACCTCACAGAGGAAGGGACACTCACTTGAGGTCTGCAGGCGGAGCGGAAAGAACATTCTAGACAGAGGGAGGACACTCTTCATACCCAGATCCCAAATTCACCTTGGCTGGGTGGGGAGTGTGGAGCTCCCTAAGGTCTCCAAATGGTATTATTATAGTGCTGAGCACACAGCAAGTGCCAAATAAAGACGTCCTGAAGGGTGACTTTTCAAACTGGAGGTCCCAGCTGCTGATGGTACAATACGGGCTGTTGGAACATTCAGCATTCAGCCCGTGGCGGCCGCCCCCGCGGCCCCCAGCCCTGGGAGCCTCCTTGTAGCGTGTCTCATTATTAAACAGGTGAGCCGGGGCTCCCGGGGCCTTCTCTGTAATTAGGGCAGTATCTGAGCAAGGGCTCTATTTATAACCCCCGGCCATCAGCAAGCCACGGAGACGCGCAGTGGATCCCTCTGCGGCTCCCATACCAACATCTATATGTGAACTGATTACAACAATTAATTTAATAGGGATTCCTCCACACAAACAATGTATCATTTTATTAGGAAACTCTATAAATGTCAGTGGTGCAATTCATTTTTATTAATTTTCTAAAATGAAATTAGCAGTGGCGGCAGCAGCAGCGGCAAACAGAAGTTGTATTGCCTTCTCATTCAGCAGAGTATTGGTGTCATTAATTCCTTAATACCAGGAGGCCAGTTTGTCTGAACTCAGCAGTTAACTGCACCAATTAATTTCAATACAAGCGATGGGGGTGGGGGTTGGGGGATCCAAACTCAACAACTAATTTAGGAAGGTCCTTGAACAACCACAGCAACTTTTCCTCCTCCTGGGACCAGAAGCTTTCAAGTGTAAACACGGAGTAGATATTATAATACTAATAGGAAACCTGTCTTCACCCTCAGCTTTTAGAAAAAAAAAATTCGTCCTTCCAAAGCCTGGAGAAATTTTGCCAGGTGCGTGCTGAAGTCAAACCCGCCAGCAGGCTAGGGGACTGCCCCTGTAGACAAGAGGAACAGTGACAACACCCAGCACAGAGCCTCGCAGCTCTCCAACAGGACCACAAACAGTGTCACGCTCGATCCTCTTAATGTCCCAATGGGGACGGGCCCAACATTGACTCCATTTTCTACACGAAGAAGAAAAAGTGGAGCTTTTAAAGGAGCTCAGATGACCTTCTTACAGTCACAGAGCCACTGAGTGACAGAGCCAGGGGCTCAAACCTGAAACTCACATTCCTTCCTCTCCCAGGCACGCACCCCGGGCCTCGGGGTGAGATGTCTCTTCTTTCTATTTATACCCCCAAAAAGTGAAGTGAGTCAGGCATGACTGTGAGTAACATTCGGTTTTCAATTGAGACCCAAATTCCAAAGGCCAAAATGCCAGGTAAAAGCCCCCGTTTGGAATGTCCCACTGCGCTGTAGTCGAAGGGTGGCCGGAACACAGCACGGCTGCACATCTGAAGTCAGGTGCCTGGCCCGGGCCGCGTCCCGGAGAATCTCACTCCGGCTAAAGGGAAGCTCTTCTCCTTCCACTCAGGCTCGAGGAGCGTCTCTCCGGGAGTGAAGGGCACCGGCGAGGCTGGCAGCTGCTCGAGACGAGAGCCGCCGCTGGGAGTCAGGAAATAGTGCAGAGACAGAAGCCAGACGAGCCTCCTGCTCCCCCAGAAAACTAGGGCAGCGGTTCTCCACGTGAGGTCCCAGACCAGCTGCGTCCCGTCACCTGGGAGCTTGTTGGAAATAACAAATTCTCGGGCCCCCGCCAGACCTGCTGCATGGGACGCCCTGGAGTGGGACCCAGTGGCGTGTGGTTTAATGAGCCTCCCGCCGACCTTGACACCCTAGAAAAGATGCCCCTGAGGAAAGGAGAGGGGAGCAGGCCAGGCTTCCCACGGTGCGTGATGTGCCGTCCTCTCCAAAGAGCAGACTGTGTTACCGCCCGCTCCCCGCTCCCACCCCACCCTGGGAAAGGACATCCTTCCCAGCCCCATTCTTAGCGGGCTCGGCCGTGGGACTTGCTTTGGCCAATAGATTTGTCAGCAGGTGTGACATATGATGCCACAGCCAAGCAGGGTTTTTAATTGCACCTGCATCGACTGCCTTGGGCTTTTAAGCCCCTGCCCTCCCCATGAGCAGCAGAGTCCCAGACAGAGGGGACTTCTTCAGCATGAGTCCCTAGGACAAAAAGATGCATAGAGCAGTCCCAACCCCAACCCAAAGCCGCAGCCAACCCGCAGACCCATGAGCAGGAAATGGAAATTTGTTGTTTTAAGTTACTAAGTCTGGGAGATGTTTCTTACCTAGCATTATCACAGCAAAAGCTGACTGATATAAACCATCCGATTTTATAACAAAGGAAAGTGTGGCCCCAGCAGGCTGAGGGGCTGAGAACGCCTGCAGAGGGAGTCGCCTTCCAGTCTCCACTGAAAGATAAATCAGAGCCACTTGGGGCGGGATTCACAACAACTAATCTCTCTTTCCTCAATATCTAACCTCCTGCAAAACGGAAAGTTTTGCCTTCATCTAAGAGATTCAAAGCCTAGTGAAGTAATATTTTTAAATACTTTTTAGCATGAGAAAATGTTCTTAAGGATAAGACCCTCTGTCCTCCATGCCTCAGAAAGGATGAACAGGTTAGGCTGAAGGCTAAGGGCACAGAGGCCATGCCCCAACCCCTTTCCCTGGTGCCAGGTGACAAACCTGGGGACTTCGGTGCTTCTGTCCAAAGTGAAACAGACTGGGCTTCCACTTCTTGAATTCAAGCCCGCCATCCAGGCATCCTGTAAGCCACACTCCAGCTAACACCCCTCGCCCTCGTAAACACCTGGCCCTGTCACCACTAATAGAAAAGTTGCAGCAATTGGAAGAGAGTGGCCACGTATTTCCACAGCTCTAGAATGCAACAAACCAAAAAATAAAAACTTAGAGTTGGGGATAAAAGAAGAGGCTGCCTCTAAAATCCATCCTAAATCCCAATGTCACCATTCTTCACAAAATAATAACATCCCTGGTGCTGGCAGAACACAGGTCGGCTATATTTTCACCAATTCCCTCTACTCCCAAGTGGTAAGAGAAGTTAAATGTTTGTGGCAGTTAGTAGGTTCAAGGACATCCACTGCATAATAACCTGCAAACTTAGCCACTGCTTCTGATTCGGGGTGATCTTAACACCAATCAAGAATAACTTCCAGTTTGTAAAACATGTTGAGATAAAAATGGGCAGTGAAGCTAGTTCCTCTTTTTAAAAAAGCATGTTTCCAGAGAACACTAGTGGCAGGTGAGCACTTTCCCAAAATAAACTCCCCTGCTACTCCCGCCTGCCAAGGCTTCACGCACCCGGCTGAAGGATCCAGCCGCAGCCACCAGGTTAAAAGTTCCAACTGGCAGGACGGCAGCTGAGCCGTTTCTCATCCATCTGATTGCATTCCTGCCACAGTCTTAGATCAGTGAATGAGACCTCAATGTCACAAGCCATCAAGCACAACATGGCATTTTCAACTTGTTGCCCGTGAATCGGCTGGCCAAATCAGGTAATCAATGAAAATCAATCCATTTACTGTACATATTTGAAAAACTGCAAGATCTGGGACATTACCTTGTCTTAGGGGAGGTGGTTAGCCATTCTTCGTGTTTCTCAAATGTTATTAAATAAGCTGCAATTTCCTGAAACAGAAGAATAAAAAGATAATAGCAACAATTAGCTCACGTTGGATCCTGAGAAGTAAGAACGTTTTTGTTGTTTCCCAGCTGCTGTTTCCCTCTGTGGGGCTGGAACTCCTTCTCTGCTAGAAAAACACTTGACTTGGACTCTCGTTCTATTTTGATTCTTTAAGTCCTTTCCATTCAACCTGCCACGCACAACCATCAAAGCGCTGGCTCTCAAAGGAGGAGTCAGTGGCAAAGACAAAAGTATTTCTCTGTGGGAGGAAAACATCAGACACCGGTTCAGACTCTAAGTGGCATCAGTTTGAAGGAAGGAAAAACACATGCCAACGCCAGGCCTCCACCCATGCAAGGCCACCACCACTGGAAAGTTCTGTCTGTCTCTTTCTGAAGCTGGATGAATCTTTCATCGTTGTCACAAGAGGTGTCGCCTTCTCAGCTTCTTTCCCAACTCCCTGAGCCAAATCACACGAAGATCAAAAAGAAAAGAAAAGATAAAGCCATATTCCAGAGAGAGACAGAGATAGGGGGAAGTTAACCTTTCCCACTGCTGATAACTTAATCTATCGAGCAGTGCTTTAGAAAGAAGAGCACTGTCAGCAGAGTTTAAGGCAAAGATGAAGAAAATGTGGGCACCTGAAGGTAAATTAAATATTTATAAACCCAACAACATCACTGCAGATAGAATTACTGATTTATTAATAATTTCCGTAAAAAGCCAGTGGGCGACATCAACATAAGTCGTTGCTCCGGCTCTGAGGCCTGATACGGCCCATTACTTCCAGCTCTGAGCGGATCTGCTAACACGAAACTGGCAGGGACTGCAAGTTAAATTAAGGTTGGACTAGCACACATTTCCCTTGATCTTGGTGACGGCACAACACGTAGCTGCCGCCCGTGACTATCAGGAACGCACAGAGAGGAGGCCTCCAGCTCAGCTGTCGCCGCAGCCGGGCTGCCCAGGGGCTCCCCGTAGTGGAGCTGCCCGTCCACCCAGAGGCCGCCAGCCCCTTCCGGGCTTGGATGTGCTGGGGTTGACACCTGTGACCAGAGACGTTGAACTTGGCCCTGAGGAAAAGGAAGAGACTACCACCAAAACCAGGCAAGCCGAGCAGGTTACTGTAGAAAAGACCCGCCCCCCCACCCCCGTGCCATGCAGTGTGGGGACTTCAAGTCCTCACATAATCACAGGGACTGGCCACAACAACGAGGTAGCCAAGGCCAGGGGCTGAGAGTCTGAGCCAAGCTGGACCTTCCCCCCGAGAACCTGGGAAGCAGAGACCATGGCAGAAACAGAGTCACTTCATTGTCCAAGTTTCTATCATTGACTGCAGCCGAAGAGACCGTAAAATACGCAGCTGACCATCCAGCGCATTGTTTACTCATCCCTGAGCCTTTTCGAATTTTATTTCCTCTCCTTAGAAAAATCTTCCCCTAAGGTCGCTGTAGGCAACGTGGCTTCCTTTGGCTGGCCCTCCCCCTGCCGTTCACAACAGCGGCAGCTATGCCCACGACAGGGGCTCCGGCACCCCCCCCAGGCTTTGTCACTCAGCTTTCTGACCGCCTGTTGCTTGGGTAACATCTCCCGTTGGACCCCGAGCAGGGGTGAGGAATACGTCATCACTGATGGGTCCCCGGGACTTGGCAGCATCCTGGGGCACGCAGGGAGCACCTGATCAATGTTTGTTGCACAGGTGGCTGGAGGAATGGCTGGATGGGCGGGCAGGGGGGTGGGAGGGATGGAGAGGGAGCTGGCATCCCAGAAATAAATATGCAAGCATAAGCGAGTGTGTGTGTGTGTGTGTGTGTGTGTGTGTGTACGTACGTGTTTATTACTGAAGGTAGCTGATGCAAGAGCTTAAAAGCAGCAAAACGCAGCAGTTCCTGGTTAGCGCCTTGCCAGTTACTTAACTCCATGTCACTGCAGGAAGGCAACATAGGATCACTGTTAAGAGCACACGCAGGGGAAGAAAACAGACCTGCCTTCAGGCACCAGCTCTGCCACTTACTAGCTGTCTCATCTTGAACACATTACTTAACCTGTCTAGACCAGTTTCCTACGAGACTGGGGTAGTCTCACCTCACGGGGCAGTCATAAAGAACAATAATTCTTAATACTCTGGCTGTCAATAGCATGTCCCTAAACAACAGCTAACACTGTTATCATTGTAAGGTTGACAGGGTGTGAGCCACCTGTCTAGAGGCCCCTGATGAGTCTGCAGGTGCCAAAATGGCCCGGGTCAGAGGCTGCCACCCCTGCTGGACTCACTGTTGTCTCTCCCCCACACCACACTACCACACGCCCACACTTGCAGATGGCGAACCAGAATGTCAGAATGACCGTTCAGGGCTGCTGGAGTCAGTCCTTCCAGGTACCTCTCTCGGTTCCCATTTGGTTTCACAAAGTACTGGGAGCAGACGGTGGCTGAGTCAGTAGGTGGAGGTACCGACCACTGGGTGTGTGCATCAGCTCATGTGCTTGCATGTCAGGGGACTCAGCATCCAGGGGACCAGGCTGTGCCACCGGGGAACGCCCCAGATCCATGCCCTTGCCCAGGATCACGCCGAGAGTGACCCAGAAGATGGAGACACGGTGCATCCCAGCCACCTCTAGATTTATTCCTCTGTTCCAAAGACCCAGGCACCCAAAGAAGACATTCATGAACATCCTTCAGCCAACACTTGCCCCAACCTGGCAGGGCTCCTACTGTTACTGTCCTGGGCTAGTGAGTGCATTCGACATTTACAAACACTTACTGGGTCCTACTATGCTCCAGTCAGTGAACAGACCATTAGGAAGCCTGCGGTTAAAGAACCCACAGTTGAGCAGTGGATAGTTGTAAGTAGACACAACAGCTCAGAGTAACTGCTGTTACAGGGTCAACCATGCAGCCAGCTCTGTAGCCAAACTCCAAGGCTCACCTTGTGTCTAATGAGCTGCCGTGCAAGTGAGCAGAGACTCCCAGAAGTCACATTGATCTGTGAGCACAGGCCACCCCCTCCTCACCCCTAAGGGAAAGTTAGCGTCTCCCACGCAGAGCCCCCTTGGTAGAGCACCCGGCCCATTTAGGAGCAGCCTTTCTGAGCACAGGAAACTAAATGCCTAGACCCTGGCTCCCACCTCTGTCGTGCCCAAGTTGGCTGGGCCCCTAAGCTGGACCTGATGGCCAGAGACTGTCACCAGCTACTGCCTGGTCCCCGGCTGGACTGGGAGTGCCCACCACCAGGCTCATGCTGCCCACTCTTCCAAGCCCATTGCCCTTCCCAAGTCTTGGGCCACCTCCTCCCCACTGGGCAGACCCTGGCTTCCAAAAGCTTAGGAATTGGTTGGGGAGATCAGTATATAAATGACAAAGGATAAAAAAAAACCCACAGAGTATTAGGTGCTAAATGGTATGGGGCAATGTAAGAACCACCAAAATTCAGAATTATCTTGGGGGTAAGACAGTCTCCATCACCTACATCATTGTTGCCACCAACGCTAACAGTAGTGGAGTGCGGGCCAGAGCCAGGTACTGCCCTAGGACTTTATGTGAGAAAATCTTAGTTAATCTTCATAACAACCTACGAAGTAGAGACCAAGCCCATTTCATAGGTGGGGAAACTGAGGCACAGCACCGTTAAGTGACTTGCCCAAGGTCACATAGCCCACACCTGTGGAACTGGAACCCAAAACCATGCAGAATAGTTCCAGAACAGCCAAGACATGCTTGGACGGAGAAGAAAAAAGAAAACTTGTGGCAAGTCAGGTTTTCCCAGCCCAGGCTGACAGCCTCCTGCTCCTCCCTGACCCAGAGTCACTTCCCGGCCCCACTTCCCTTCAGTGGACCAGGAGGAGTCCAGGCTGAGCCTCCTTCAGCAGGATCAAGCTCACCCCCCCACAAAACCCTAGTCCAATTCACCAGATCATCTACTTCAGCGACAGGCAAAGTCCCGTGTCTCCATGGAACCCTTTGCTTAAAACATCTTCCAGGCAGATGACAACAACAGGGAGAAAGGGAGATGCTCCGGGTGAAGAGGGGATGGGGTTGTGAAAAGAAGGATTTTTAGCCCAGCTACCTGGCCTCCCGTCCTCCCCCGGAGCTCCACAAGCCTAGGACGCTGAGGAAGGTGAAGGAAAACACAGGTCTGGTCTATCTCCTTTGTACAGAAGAGGAAACTGAGGCAGGAGAAGGAAAAGGACTTGCCCAAAGTCAGCCTGTCTGTGGCTGACCCCAGCGCACGCACGTTCTTCCCCCGCTCCCTGGCTCTCAGGTCCCTCAGACTCAGGCCCGGCTCAGGCAGGAAGAGAGTGTGCCCAGCCAGGAGTGCAGACAGGGCTCCCGTCCGCAGCAGCCTTGCTCACGGAAGCTCCAAGGTGGAAGCAGCCCAAGTGTCCATCGACGGAAGAATGAGTGGGAAAAATGCAGCTCATTCATGCAGTAAAACGTAACTCACCTCCCCACAGGAACAAAGTGCTGACACATGCTACAACATGGACAGACTTGAAAACACGGTGCTCAGTGCAAGAAGCCAGTCACTAAAGGCCATGTGTTGTGTGATGTCATGTATATGAAATGTCTAGAACAGGCAAAGCCACAGGACAGAATGCAGGTTAGTGGTTGCCAAGGTCCCGGGAAAGAGGAGAATGGGAGTTTCCTTCTGGGGTGATGAAAATGTCTGGAACTGGATTGCGGTGATGGTTGCACGGCATTGTGAACGTATTAACTGCCAACAACGGTCAATTTTCTGTTACGTGTCTTTTACCACAATAAAAAATAAAACGGAGATGGAGAAGAGAGAGCATAGACACCCATCCAGACATGGCGCTGGGATGAGGGACACCCCAGCCCTCCCCACCTGCGCAGACAGACCCTGAACCCACAAAGGGCGCGCTCGCTCGCCCGCCCGCCTCCCCGGCTCCCGGCCCCCGAGCTCCCTTCTCTTCCTGCCTGCCAAAGACCGCGTGGGTGCCAAGAAAAATGACTCCACTGTCAAGATGAAGAAAGTCGCTGCAGGCT